ATATACATATATATATATATATATATATATATATATATACAACAGGTCCCATGAGTGAGTCATTGAATGATTCACTAAACCAATTAATTCAAAACACCGATTGGTTACTGTGACGAGTGGGGGCGGGGCCGAGAGCTGTGGGACTTTATTTTGTCTTTCACTGTCGTCACTCCTCCTTTTATCCTTCCGGAGCTCCTCCGTGGGACTCGAGACCGGTGAGTGGTGCAGGTGTCGCTCATTATCAATTACTCCACCGGCCTCGCTCCATTCCCACGGCTCTCGGCCCTGCCCCCACTCGTCACAGTTACACTTTTTTTTTAAGGTGTCCTTGTTACAGTGTAATTTTACATTTAAATACTGAGTAATATTAATTTACTACATGCACTTACTATATGGTTAGGGTTAGGATTAGGGTTTGGTTTAGGGTCACTTTCATGCAATTATGCATAATTAATTGTTATTATAATAGTAAGTACATGTAACATGTGTAACAAGGACACCTTAAAATAAAGTGTTACCCACAGATTAATTTCAGTATATAATAAATAGTGTTTCTCAATCAGAAGGCTGAATCCAACTGATGTTGAGTTCAGTCCTTCTAAGGCTTCTAGGCTAGACTCCTTCTCAGCATTGAACGCTAGAATTAAACAGTCTAGTAAGTAATATCAGCCATTTATATTAATGGTATTCAGAGATGAAGCCAGTAATACTAATTTTGTGATATTAGAATAACAAATTCTTTTAGATGCCATAGTTTACACAATACACAGTAGTGTTCATTTAGATACAACTGATTTTCTTATATAGTACAATAAGCAGTTAAGTGTTAACAAAAAGTAGAACAAAAATGAAAATTGTATATAAACTATTACCAGGGTTGACACAAACATACCTGCTCTTCCCATCAACTCATATACACCGGTGTCAATGTTGCCATCATTGTCATCAAGTATCTATGAGAACATTATTAATAACAATTTAATAACAAATTAATGATTAATGATCATTATCAAATTTATGATAATGATAATTAATAATGACAAGACTTTTAAAGAGCATATATGTGACTGAAAAGGAAAACGTTGTTATGTTTAAACATCAAAGTACAGAAAAGATTCAAATGTTTTGTAAAACTGCTGATGTACAGTAGGTCTTCTGCGGTGATTTAGATCCAAGTAGAAATTACCTTTAATATGACACAGTCTGAGAAAAGACAAGATAACCTGTCTAATTTACTAATGACAGATTGTAAAGTTGTTTTATATCATTTAGACCTAGATTCAAAGCCAAAAACTCAGCTATGTGCATTTGTTATGACTGCTCCTATAACCACTGGTGTAGCAGGAGTTGCATGTGACTATTGTAAGTTGCGTTCAGTGCTCAAGTTTTTGCCAAGCTTGCAGAATTGATTTGTAAATGCCACAAAGTTGGTCAACAGCAAAGCGATGGTTGTTGTGGAAACCACTGACATCCAGTTGTGTGGGGGCTGTTATTATACAGCTAACAATGGGCTTTTTCTAAACCAATTTTACTCCATTCAAATAATAAATACAAAATGATGAAAGTAGGCACACTACAAAGTGTTCACTTTAGTGTGATGCATACTTCATTCTGACTGCCTCTCTCCGTGTTCTGTTCCTTAGCAACCTGATACCATTCACTTGTAATAATAACTTCTACTTCTTCCCCTTCGATATTGATTATGCACATTATGCATTCAGTGTTATGAATATATTCATTAGAGCAGAAAGGGAGAATTAACAGATAGACAAGACAAGCTAATTACGCATCACACGTTGAGGGGCTGTGAGAGACAGCTGCTTTGATGTTGGACATGAGCGTAACATCATTTTATCCAAATGTGCTCTCTTGTTGTGATGAATAATTCAAATATTTTTGTGCTGTCAGAGAAAGAATCTGACACATCAGTGGACTGACTGACAGACAAGTAATAATAATAATAATAATAATAATAATAATAATAATAATAACAACAAGATAATAGGAGAATGTTAAGACAACAATAGAAAATGAATGTGATTTTTATTATTATTTATATTATTATTTATTTATATATTTATTTATTTATTGTGATGCTATGTAGAAAATGTTATTTGAGCTTGATTTTTCATTAATAAAGGAGCAAATATCAAGCGTAGCATTAGTTCTGGCAGGTCACGTTAGTCAAGCTCATGTCAGCTGACTCTCAGCTGATCCATGTCTACCTATAGGGATGCGACATCTATCACAGCACCCATATATAAGGTCCTTCAGTATTATCAGCAGCTTTCGCGTTACTAAATAGCTAATTAAATGAGAAATTTGGCAGGCAAACCCTATCATCTCACTAGAAATTGTGCAATTGGGAATTTAGCCAGAGGTATTCGTTCCCCCCATGGACTTCCCCTCAGATTTATTCAAGTTTGTGAACTTCAAATGCGAATTCGTCACATTGATCATAAGCTGCCTGATTGGAGGTGACTGAGTTAGCATTGCTTCTAGCATCATTGTATTATTGACATGGACTCCATGAGTTATACTAATGTGACTGACTCAAGAACAAGTTTAGATGGGATCTGCACTCCTCGCATGAAGTATATCAAGAGATCAAGCATCCATGTCACAGCTGGCATTGTTTCACTCTCCATTCATCTCTGAATGTCTTCACAAGCTAAGATCACAAGCTCCTTTTTGATGCTCTCAGGTTATTGGCAATATGCTTGTTGCTAAGGCTATCCACTTTGCTTAGGCTTATTAGTCATTTTTCAGTAAAATGCTTGTGCTAGGCTAAATGCATTGTAAGAGTTGTTGTTCAGTTGAAGTTAGCTCAGCATGATTCTGTTCGAGTATCTGACAAGCCTGTTGTAATTATGTTTTATTGGAAGAACGCTTATACTTAAAAATGTATAGTGTATTAGGAACGTGCTAGTCTTAAGCTGTAGTTGTATTATGAACATGCTTGTTCTTAAAGCTATAGTTGTATTGGGAATGTGCTTATTCTTAGGCTCTAGTTGTATTAGGAACATACTTGTTCTTAAAGCTGTAGTTTTATTAGGAACATGCTTGTTCTTTAAGCTGTGATTGTATCTGGGAAATGCTTGTTCTTAGGGCTTCTGGTTCTGTTGGAAACATGCTTTTTCTAAAAGCTATCTGGTTGTTGTAGAAAATGTTGTTGTTGTCGTGTAAGCTTCCTAGGTATTGGCTACTGTGGCGGGAGGAGCAAACGACAGACACAGTGGGTGTGGCGTCAGGCCTCTGAGAGGCTTTTATTATCAGAAAAAAAAAAACATAAAAACAGGAAATAAAGTGTCCAAAGGATAAATGGTGTTCAAAATAAACAGGGGATCTGGTGTCCTCGTCGTGCTGCGGGGTTCGTGAAGGTGGGACAGTGTTCGGGAAGGAAGGGTCTAGGTAAGGGGCGGAGTCCGGAGGCCGCACGCGCTCCCCTCCTCGATCCGGGGCGCGAGAAGCGGCGGCTTCTTTTAGCGGCTTCATCCTTCTCTCTGCCCATGGCGCTTGAAGGAACTAGACAGCCCGGCATCCTGGCCCGACGGCCGTGTAATGGGTGCGGTTCTCATCCAGACTGCGGGTCCAGTAGCTCGCATCTTCAGTGGCTCGGAAATCCCTCAACGCTCCCTTCCTGGACCCACTAGGACACCAGCGTGCATGCACGGGGAAGAGACCGGTCTCCCGAGGTGGTGATGAGGCTCCATTCGGTTCAGGTGTGCCTCATCACACGCCGCCAGCCCTGACTATTTCAGCGCCCCTCCTCTCTCACGCACCTACTCCTGTCAGGAGCCTGGAGAAGGGCGGCGATTAAGGGATGGGGTGAAGCTGATCATTTAGGGGGGAGGCAGCCGACTCGTCACACTACATATTTGTTAGGTCATCTGGTTAAGTATGTGGGTTTCGGCAACATACTCGTTTGGTCATTGGGTAAGGGCAACATGCTTGTTGCTTAAGGCTTCGAGATTTTCACTGTCATTTTGTGTTATTGGCATATTGGGGGATATTGGCATATGATTTGTTTTGGGGGGTTATCGCTGCTCTCACTGCTCTCATCCATGCTAGGCTGCATGGATGTGCAGGGAGTTCTTGCTTAGAACAGAACCATACCGCCAGTTCAAACTGTAAGCTAATTGTCAATCATCTTTGACGATAGTGGTCCTGACAGAAATAAAGCGTAGTTCTGGCAGGTCACGTTAGTCAAGCTCGCATCAGCTGACTCTCAGCTTATCCACGTCTGCCTATAGGGATGCAACATGGTCCTTCAGTATCATCAGCAGGTTTCGCGTTGCTCAATAGCTAATTACCCTCCTCCATCCCTAAAGGCCGTTCCACACTGAGCGCGATGTGAAAAAGCGAGGCGAATCACAGACGAACAGTGCTTTCACACTGAACGCGAAACGATTGTTCGTCTTCACCTAATTCATGCCTGCACGCTAGGTGGCACTGACCAACAATGCATTTTTCCTCAGATATATATCTCATATATGGATTTAACATCATCCACTGCTCAATATACAGCATTAAATAAATATAGCTAAATAAAGTTAGGTTCTAAGCCAGAAACACAAACTATCTATAATGCTTACAAGAAAACTTTGTAAAATATAAATAGAAGCATCAAGCCAATTTATGTAATTATTAATGAATTATTAATGAAAATTGATGTAATTATTAATGTATTTGCTTAAAACCCACTTTAAACCATCATTGAGTGCTTGTAATAACTCCCGATTGTGATCTATATTTGATTTTTATTCTAGGCAGACATGCACTCTTTGTATGTTTAATAATGCCACACTGCTTATTGTAATAAACATCCTTTATTGTTATAAAAATACCATGAGCTCTAAACAAAACACATACAGAAAATATATCGTCATAATCATATGTCTATGTGCTTTCATATTTCATGTGTAGAAAAATGTTTCCCTTGATTTTATTAATATGGAAGATCTAGAGTGAACGCGCTCTGACTAATAACACTCGCGCACGTGGAAGAAAACGGACACTCCAGATCACATAATTCAGTGGATAATTAATAGAAATTATATTAAGAACATGTGAGAATAAATCTGTTCTCAGATACCAAAATAACAAAAACTCGTCATCCACTCTCTTCTCTCTCGGGATACTCTTCTTCTGTTCTGTGTTAGTAGTTTAACTGGTTTTCGAAACAATGCCACCACTCATCCATTTTTGTGCAACAGCAGCTGCTCCGGTCACGTGATCCTAGCCTAAATCTTATTGGACGGCCCGTGTTTTCGCTTTGCGAAACTGAAAAGATTCGTCGGTCTGGTTCGAAAAAAACATTCGCATTTTCGGTGCGCGAATGTTCGCGGTCTATGTGGAAGCATCCATAGGAATCTGTTGTTTTATTCCAGCACGTCATCGCGTCCGATATTCGTTTTGCTTTTTCGCGCTCAGTGTGGAAAAGCCTTAACTCCTTTTTATCTAGTCAGGATTCGCCTTCTGATTCACCTTTGAATCAGACTAATTTCTAAAATGTTTCCATTAAATTATTGAACATAAATGATATCCGCAATACATTTATGTTTTTTCTGTTCTGTTACCCTGGGGGGTTATCAATGCTCTACCTGCTCCCATCCATGCTAGGCTGCATGGATGCGCAGGGAGTTCTTGCCCAGAACAGAACCATACCGCCAATCCAAACTGTATGCTAATTGTCAATCATCTTTGACGATAGTGGTCCTGACAGGAATGGTGACACTGGCATATGGTCATAAATTTTTACCCTAACACTGCACTACATCATGCTCCAGGCTGGGGCTTATTTTACCCCCAGTGTGGGGTTAAATTATTACATGATTTTTAAATCAAAACAAACGTATTTTACCATATACAAATTATTGCATGATTTTTAAATCAAAACTTATTTTACTTTCTATCCACACTGTGTATAGATACAGTATATTTATACAACAGT